AGCAAAAATAAACCATACGCATGTACATACTCGCATGTATTGGCATAGGCTTTATTTAAATGTCTTTTCTCCCAGATGTGACGTTGCTCTGTCTCGTTCTGCACTTCCTTCCCGGGGCCTGGCAGGGCCTGGGCCTGTATCATTCTCGTTGTAACCTCCAGGGTACAGAGTAGTCCTGGGCCCTGGCCTGTGCACCATGAATATTTTGTAAAGAGATGAATGAATTATTTAGGTGTCTGGTCCATTCGTTGTCTTGATAGAAATGCCACATTGTCTCTAGCGTTTTGCATTGAAAACCTGACTGCAAGGACTTTCCTTCGTGGTCCGTCCAGGACCTGTGATCGCTTTAGGGGAGGGTATGTGTAGAGCCCTCGCTCTCCACCTGGGACACATGGCCTCCCAGGGGACACTAAGCAGTGCGTGGAGACAATTTTGGTCATCAGGACTCTCGGAGAGGGTGCTCCAGGGACCTCTCTGCACATCCTCTAGTGCCCCCGACGCCCGAGTGCCCGGTGCCGGGGACGAGCCACTGTGTTGCCACTGTCTGTTCGGTGAAGGTGCTTTGGCCAGTCTTAGAGCCCTGTCCTATGCCGGGGTGGTGGGTGGAGGCGGCCACCCTGCCCTGAATCCCTGGGCTGTGGGAGGGCGGCAAAATATGTGCAGGACCCAGAGAAGCTGCCCAAAGTGCGGGGCTCTGGGGCAGAGCGTGGTGGGAGGGACCTCGTTTGCCTCACACGCCAGGCCACGTGGGCCTCTCAGCCTGGAATCTGGCCCTGTCCCTCTCTGCAGACCCTCTGAGGCTGCCGTCATACCTAGAATGTGATCCAGGGCCCCCACGAAGGCCCCCAGGGACCCAGCCTTATCACCCCCCCTTTCTGGTCCCCCTGCCCCGTTCTTCCAACACGCCGCATGTGTTCCTATCTCCTGGTCTTGGCATCTGCCCTTCCTTCCATGGGGACCTTCCTCCCCGGGACTCCTGTGGCCAGGAAGCCTTCCCTGACCAGTCTCCCTTGTCCCTGCCCCCGACCCGGCCCTTGTTGCTTCGTGGCCATCACCACCATCAGACACGATACTCCGCATCCCCGAGCCCATCTCCTTCCCTGGGGGCCCTTGGGGGGGCCGCCCTGGCTCACTGCTGCACCTGCACCTGGCTCCGAGCCCAGCACACGGTAGGTGTCCATCGGTAGTCACCAAATGAACCAATGGATCGATAACAGGGTGGTCACTCAAGCCTGGGACACGTGACCTAAATGTCCGTCGGTGGGAGAGGATGAGGTAAAGGCCATTCCAGATGCAAGGCTCCTCTGTGGCCACGAGGGATGAGGTCAGTGTGTTTCCCTGATGTGGAAAGACGTCCACCGTGTGTTGCGTAAAGGCCGGGTTTATATGAAACAGCAGTCACAGTGCGGTCCCAGTTACGAGGAACTGCGCACACGTGCGTGCAGCTTAGACTAAACAGTCACGGCGGTTTGTTCATCTTGGTGGTTGGGGCAAGAAACGAGCTTCAGGACTGGTTTGATCCAGTGGCTCAGCGATGTCACCAGCGATGCCGGGTCTGTCTCTGCTCTTCCATTTGAAGGAATCAGCCCCATTTGAAAATGTAACCCTCTCGTGGTCTCCAGTTGGTGGCCATTTCTGGGGCTCCGTCCACTCCTCCTCCCTCCGTCTTGTCCAGGGAGAGAGAAGGTTGCTTTTGAAGGCTGAACGTCCAGGGAACCTCTCTTCCATTCATTGGCTGCATTGGGTCACGTGCCCGTCCAGCCAGTCACTGCAGCTGGAGGGTTAGTTCTTGTCCGTTAGACCCTGTGGCCAGAGTGGGGTCCCCTAAGGCACAGAGGCCACAATGAAAATTGAGGTAGGTGCCAGGGAACGGGGGCACGGGTGAGACACGTGGCATCATCCCCATTTTACAGATGAGGCCGTGGAGGCCCCAGCATCCAACTTGACCTCTGCTGGCCCACACAGGGTGGGCGGCGGCAGATGGGAGTTTAAACCCCCTGAAGTTCCTTTCCTTTCCCCCCCACCCTGTCCACCCGTCGTCAGCCGAGGCTGTGGGTCCCTGGGTCCCTGGACCCGGCTGCGTGAGCAGCTGCGAGAGCCGGCCCGACCCCCCCCCCCCCCCCCCGCCGGGCTGCACGGAGCCCTCGCAGCACGTGACTTTACTGTATCTGGAACAGCATCAGGTTTTCGGGCCAGGCATTTTTATTTTGCCCTAAAAGCCTTCCAGGTGGGGGTGGGGGCAAGATACAATTCCTAGGGGCTCAGCTTTAATGGCTTCTTTTATAGAATCGTTCGAATTATAAATGCATGAACTCGAGGAAACCCTTGCTGAAGAATGCAGGCAAGCCGAGAACGTTCAAGGGGGTGAAGGTGAAACCGTGGTGGATGGAGGAAGTTTGCGCTCTTAAACATTAGCTGTTAAAAAACCAAAGCGAGCCCCGTGGTGCCGATGAGGTCCCGGGAGGCTGGGTTTGCTGACCTGGGCCTGTCGGGGCCTGGGGCCTGGGGGGGGCGGGGGCTCCAGGTGAAGTTGATTCCAGATGTGGACGGGCGGCCCGGGGCCTCCCAGAGCACCGTGTTCGTTGGCCTCTGACCCCCTCACCCCACTTGGGGTCGCGCCTCTGTGTCTCAGTGACGCGGCCTGGGTTCAAATTCTGCTCTGTCCTCCCTTCCGAGCTGGGCGTCCGTGGGCAGCCCGTTGGGCGTCTCTGAGCTGCGCTCTCGTGAGTGAGACCGGCTTCCTCCCTGTCTCTTGCTTCATCTCTCTTCGGAGTTCTCATCACCACGCGCCTGACGTTAACTGCATGTTGGCCGAGGGCCGAGCGGCCGGGCTGTCCTCGGCTCCCGTCCTGCCCCCCAGCCGCGGAGCACAGGACGCGGGGCTGGCTGCGTCTGCTTCCTCCTCGCCGTCTCTAGGGCCGCACATCCTCCGGGGGTCCTCCTTCCTCCTCCCCAAGCACCTTCCCGATCTTCCCAGGTCCTCCCTAACTGGGCTCCCCGGTGCAACCCTGACCTCTCAGCGGAGGGGGGTGGGCGGGGTGCCCGGGCTCAGCCCTCTCAGGGCTCATCCAGCTACACGCTGTCCCCAGTGAGCTCCCCCGGGGGACCCCGCCCGCCTCCCCGAGCCAGCGTTTATCCGGCGCTTCGACGTGCAGAGCTCTGCTCTGAGAAGCGTCTGTGTGTTGAGTGGCAGAGGCAGGACTTGAACCCGGGAAGGCGGGCGCCAGGCCAGAGCACATTTGGTGCCAGGTCCGTCTCCCTCTGGATCCAGGGCCGCACCCAGGCTGCCCACCTGCCAGCTTCCCTCGGGACAGGTGGACGTGGCAAACAGCGGCCACTAAACCACCCTGCGTTCTGTCTTCCGCCCTCCCCTCCCCGGCTCATTCTCTCCACCCCGCCCCTACCCCTGCCTCAGTTTCCCCACCTGCCTTCTTCCAGGTGCTCAGGCCCAGAGCGTGAAGGTCAGGTGTGACTCTGCACCTCCTCACACCCTCTCTGTCCAGCCCCTTAGCAAATTCGGTCAGCGTTTTCTCCCAAAGTAGGTCCAGGGCCTGTTGCCTCCCACCCGGGATGTACCTGTACCCAGGTCTGTTGTGTGACCGCCTGGTGCAGCTGGGCCTGTCCCTCTACACTTTGTCCTGCAGCTTCCTGTGAATCTGTAATTCTCTCAAAACAAACATTCGACATAAATTCCTAGGATGGGGCAGCCCGGGTGGCTCAGCGGTTTAGCGCCTGCCTCCAGCCTGGGGTGTGATCCTGGAGACCCGGGATCGAGTCCTGCGTTAGGCTCCCTGCACAGAGCCTGCTTCTCCCTCTGCCTGTGCCTCTGCCTCTCTCTCTCTCTCTCAATCTCTCTCTCTCTGTGTGTCTCTCATGAATAAATAAATAAAATCTTTTAAAAAAAATTTCCTAGGATGGATTTGAAAAACGAAGCACCGAGGATCTGTCTCCGGCCAGCTCCACTCCCCGCCACCCGGGGCCGACCCTGTTCCTCTCCCGGGATGCCCACTGGCCTCCCCCGGCCCTGGGGTGCTCCGTCACTGTCTGCCCCGGGTGCCTGCTGCTCAGCAGCTCACCCCACCGTTTGCCACTTCAGGCAGCCGTCTCAGTGCCCCCCCAGGGCAGCTACAAAGGCCCCCCCAGGAGGCTCACAGCAGCAGGCCTCCGTCCTCCCCGAGGACTGGAGAAGTCCCAGGGCTCTACCCCTTCCGAAAGCTCGAGGAATGAGTCCTTCCTTGCCTCTCCCAGCCCCACTGGAGTTTGGCATCCGTTGGCCCCCTCGGTGTGTATCGGTGTGCACCACCACCCCCAAGTCCTGTATGACCTTCTCATAACTAATTATATCTACAAAGGGGCTCTTTTCAAATAACATCACGTCCTGAGGTTCTGGGGGGACATGGATTTGCGTGTGACACTTTGACTCCATAAACAGAATAAAGGCAGAGCGTGTGCTGTTGCCCACAGGACCGTCTGTTATCTGTGCTCCCCGAGGTCCCCCATGATTTGTCCCGTGGAGCCCTCCTGCTTCCCCGCTTCCCCCCAGCCTGTGCTCCAACCAGGCGGCTGGTCTCTCTGCTGCTGCTTCAATATCCCCACCTCCCACCCCTCACAAGCGGGGCTCCCCCGCTTCTTGATACTGGGTGGATCGCATGTCCCGCTTTGGACAACAGGTTGTAGGTGGAACTTCCAGCCCGAGTCCTGCAAACCTCAGCTGGCCCCCTCTCCCTCCTGCTTCTCTCCCTGCACACCTGTCACCAGGGCAGCCCACCTGCCCTGACTGCACTGCGCGCACGCCCCGGGGGACAGGAGCTTTTCTCCGTGGGTCTCCCTGCTGTGCTCCGAGCTCCTGAACAACCTGGCCCAGGGTAGATGCCGAAGCAGGCCTCGCTGGCGGGAGCGCGGCAGATGCAGGGGTGAACCACGAGCTCGTGTCCCCGCAGCCCCTCCCGCTAACCGCTTCTCCCGTAATCCATCTGTGCGTTTGGCTGCTTCCGGTCTAGGGCAGAGCATCAACCCCAAGTTGGCGGGCCTGATCGGGCGGCACGGGCCCCAGAACAAGCAGCCCTTCATGGTGGCCTTCTTCAAGGCCACGGAAGTCCACCTCCGCAGCACGCGCTCCACGGGCGGCAAGCAGCGCAGCCAGAACCGCTCCAAGACGCCCAAGAACCAGGAAGCCCTGCGGGTGGCCAACGTCGCAGGTATGTGCAGGGCGGGGCGGGGGCTGATGTGCAGACCCTGGGGACCCCACGGGCCCTAGCAGGACCCCCATAGGGCTGTGACTCCGCTCGGCCAATGATCCCCCAGCTGACACGGCAGGGAGCCAACCCCAAAAATCCCATCCTGCGCCGAGCTCACCGCCTTCACCGTTTAAAAGTAGAAAGTTCAGTGAGAAGTGCGCGTAGCAAAGCATCAGTATGACAAGATGCCAGTTGTGTGAATTCCCAGGTAGATGAACTGATGGCCACAAATACCTGAAAGAAAGCTCGAAAGACGTGGAGCGGAACACAGCACCGCCGTCCCCAGGGAGGCTGCTCTTGGGAGTGAAGAGGAGGAGACATGAGGGGAGTTTGCTTGCTGTGTTTTTCATTTTTGTTCTTAGAGTGAAAAATATTTTAGTACTTGTTAAATATGAGGGAGTGGTGGTGGGGTTTTTTGTGTATTATTTGGGATACTTCCAGGTTTATCTGAAATGTCTTGTTATTATAGGTAAAAAAAAAAAGAGCACTAGACCTTTTGGTGTATTTTTGGGGGATACTTTTAGGTTTGTCATCATGTTGCATCATTATATAAGTAAAAACAAATTAAAAATAAAGGTAGAATTTATATAGCAAGCTATTCTAAGATTAATAGAAAATGTTTGCTGGTGCGTTCCTCCAAGGAAACTTCCAGGGATTGAGACGTTTAGGTACTTGTAGGGTGCATGGTGCTCTGTGGTTCTTGAGGCTCGGAGGAAGGTGGCCTCCCCAAAAGTGAGGCTCAGAGAGCGTAGGTAACTTTTCCAAGTCAACAAAGCAAGTAGGTGGCAGTCCTGGGATTAGAGCCCTTTTGGTTTTGCCAGGAGGCACCTGCCTGTACTTGGTGGGCTCTGGCGTCCCCAGCGATCCTGTTAAATGTCTTCTGACAATTCACCAGGCATTTGCAGAGCCCCGCTTGGGCCCACCTTTGTGCCAGCATCGGGGGTTGACTGGGACATGGTCCTCTTAACCTCCAGGCTGACCAGGCCTCTGGTGTTGGCATCTGGTGGCCTGGGGAGGCTGGGATGAGTTTGGGGACTGGGCTGGCCCGGACCAGCCTCTAGCACTGTGTACACCTGAGGCCTCCATGCCCACACCCTGGCCTGTGCCATGTTCTCCAGCACGTTGAGTGCTGCCTCTGCAAAGATGCAGTTCGATTCTCCCCCAGACCAAAAAGAAAGTTGCAAACAAATGAACTGCACCAGCAAACCAATTTCCCAACAGACTGCAGAAATGACCACCCAGATGCTAGGAGCCTGGCGGCTGAAAGCCCACCTGCCCTGTCCCCTCACATTGGCCAGCTGTGCTGCTGTCTGAGGGGTGAGCCCTCAGGTCCCCAGGTGTCCCTGTCTTAGTCCCTGGAACTGGTGACTACATGGCAAAGGGGACCAAGGTTTCCAACAGAATGAGGGTTGCTATCATCTGACCTGAAAATAGGGTCGGTCTGGACGGCCCAGGGGGGCCCATATCACACTGTAATCACAGGGGTCCTCAAGGGGGGAGAAGCCCTCTTTACTGGGGTCGGACAGGTGGGAGTCCAGAGGCGGGCGGAGAGGGAAGATGTTGCCGGCTTTGAAGGTGGAGGCGGGGTACAGGGCACAAGCTGAGAATAAGGTACAGGGGACAAGCGGAGAACGCGGGTGACTTTTAGAAGCTGGAAGGGACAAGGGAATGGATTTCCCTCGGAGCCTCCAGAAGGGACACGGCCCCACCGACGCCGTGAATTTAGCCTGCGTCAGACTTTGGAACTACAGAGCTAGAAGATTATACCTTGGTGGTGTTTCCAGCCGCCGTGCTTGTGCTAATCCGCTGAAGCAGCCGTAGGAAGCCCGTCCACACGTTTGCCGAGGGCTTTACTCGGCCTGCCCACGCGCCGTCTCCGGGCCCTGGGTGGGCGGCGAGGCCAGGGAGGGTCTGCAGCAGGAAGGAGCCCGCTGGCTCAGCTCTTCGGCCCTGCCGGCTCCTGGGCCCGGGGCTGGCCCGGAGAGGCTCATGGGCAGGTGCTCGATGGTGGTTAGAAATCTGGTGTCCAGGTGGCCGAGCAGCCCCCACCCCCAGATGAACCTTCTAACCAGCGTCCTTGGCTTCGTGTAGCCAGTTTTTAAATTTTTGTTCTTTTTTTTTTTTTTTTTTTTTTTTTTTGGAAGGAGAAGAAAGGAATGCTTGCTGTGGTTAGTGAAGATTTCAGAGCAGGGTTCCCTGGCCCCAGGGGCCCCTGGATGGATTTCTGTGGCCCTGAAGCTCACATGCAGGGGTTTTGGTGGGATCCCGTACTGGCAAATGGACCCATTCTTTTTTTTTTTTTTTTTTTAATTTATTTATGATAGTCACACAGAGAGAGAGAGAGAGGCAGGGACACAGGCAGAGGGAGAAGCAGGCTCCATGCACCGGGAGCCCGATGTGGGATTCGATCCCGGGGCTCCAGGATTGCGCCCTGGGCCAGAGGCAGGCGCTAAACCGCTGTGCCACCCAGGGATCCCTGGACCCATTCTTTTTTTAGGCTTTTTGAAAGGGTCTGAAATGCTCCCTAACAAAAATCCAACTGAATCCCTTAATTTGCATTGGAAACCCTTCCTGGGCTGACTCTAGGGGCTGGGGTCCGATGCAGAGAGCCCAGCCATGGTCCGCCCTCGAGGCCTAGGCCGGGTGGGGGTGGCTGCCACTCACAGACACACTTACTAACAGGCCTGAGAGTCAGGGGATGGTGACTAGGAAGTGACACATGATACACTGCAGGGGAGATGCCCCGCCAAGAGCTCTGGGACCAGCAGGTGCCCCTGAGGTCCGGCTGGGTCCAGGGAGTGAGACCCACAGGCACAGAAGCCCAGGGCAGGAGGCAGCGGGGCTCCTTCAAGGGGAGAGAGAGGCCATGGTGTCTGGGACAAGGGGAGGGTGGGGCCGGCAAGGTGAGCAAGATCAGGAGTCCTCCTGCGAGTCGTACCTTGAGTTTGAACTTCAACCAAAACAAATTTGGAAGCTTTTGCAGTTCTAAGCTATGGTGCGGGGGCAGGGGTGATCGGATGATCGCGGGGCTGCCCTGAGAATGGTGGGGAGCAGAGTGGGGTCCTGAGGAAGGGTCAGAGGAGGGAGACTAGTTGAATGGCTTTCCTTATCAGCCAGGCAGAAAATGCTGGAAGATTCCATGCCAGCAGACTCCAGGGTCTTGGAGGTCTATCAGGTATACCTCAGGAGTGAAGGAAGAGGGACCAGGCCTCAAAGTCTTAGAAGTCCACACCCGATTTCCCCCCTGCATCCTTGCCAAACGCTCCATTTACATAACCCCCAGGATGAGGCTGTCACTACCTCACGTGGCAGCCGTTATGGCTTGTCTGGAATCTGCCTCCCCTCCTGGGACTTTCTACTTCCCAGCCCTTTATGCAGTTTATCTAAACCGTTCCTGGAAATTTAATTTTAAAAAATACCAAGGCCCGAGCCGCACCCCAGGCTTGGTAAAGCAGAATATCTGAACGTGCGTGTACACACACATACACACCCTCCCGAAGGGCTTTACCTCATGTGAAGATGGCTGGGGATCCTGCTGTAGGGCCACACGAGCTGAATCCTCTTTCATGTGACAGCCCCTTATGTGCTGGAGGGACACACGCTCCAGCCTGCCGTCTGCTGCAAAACTCTCTTCCCTGCAGGCCCAGAGCTTTCAGCTACTCCTAGGTAGTGTGGCTTGGGGTTGAGAGACCGGGTCCCACTTTCTTCTCCTCACCCACATTTGCACCCGAACCCCCTGGTAATTAGGTGTCTTCCCCAGGTGATCTGTGTGGGTTGTAACTTGTGAGCTGCACAGGCAGGGGCTGGTGGAGGCAGATGGAGCGGCTGGGTGGGTTTCGGGGGCCAGGCCAGAGCGACAGGGGAGCTGTCTGCTTCTCGAGCATCTCCTCTTCCTTGTCATAGTCTTTCTGCTAATACGAGGCCATCGTGAAACAGGACTTCTGACCCCTTTCTCCCGGAGCAGCCCCGTGATGTAAGGAGGCCCAGAGGTGCCGTGCGGGGGTCTGGGCCTCTGGTGGCAGGGCCTGTGTCCAGCCCCCACTTACACCTCCAGCTGGCCTCGCAAGCTGCTCGCAGACTTGGGTTTCAACATTAAGCCAATTATCATTGCTTTGCTTCAAGATGGGTTTGGGAAACGTGGCACTCAGGCCGATACTTGCCCTCCCTCTGCTCATGGTAGACATCACTAATCAATGGTGGCATCTTCTCACTGAGCCTCCACAGCTTCGGATCCTTTTTTTACTCAGGACCTTAAGCAGCCAGCGATGTTGGCACTTGATGCGAAGCTTCTTTGCCACATCCCTGTCCCAAACTAATGTGCTCGATCCTGTCTTGTTGGGGCTGCTCCACACCTCACTGGGCCGAGGGGTGCTCCTCATCCCTCCCCTCTACCTTCCACCTCCCTGCAGTGAAGGGGAGAAGGAGGCCTGCACATTGACATTGCTACCTGTGGCCACGGGCCTTGCCTCAGCGACAGGGACCATCTTTGGACTTCCACTCGGTGCGTTACAGACAGTATTGCAAACGGTCCGGTAGATTGCTTGGGCTCTTCTCTGATGGCTCCCTTGACCTTCACATATCAATGACCACCTGGCCCTCTGGAGGCCCAGCTACCTCTGTAGCTGGTTCCCTTTCTCAGCCCTTGGGCTGCCAGGCCCAGAGGTAGGGAAGGGGGACCCCAGATGCCCCATTGCTGCTTTGTCCTCCCAATCCCCCCACAGCCCCCAGCAAGGTAGACCTCCTGCCCCCTCCACTCTGCCCACTGCTGAGCCCTGCTCATGCCTTCTCATTCCTGGAAGGCTCTAGTGCCTGACTCTCTGTCCCTCTGTTAGCAGCCACTGCTGTCTGGGTTCTTGCTGGTCTTCTCAGTCATGAAGGGCACCCTTCTCTCCCTACCTCTATGTCTTCATCCTGGAATGTTCCTCCTTTGGATGACTCTCTGGCTGGCTCTTATTTCCTTTTGGTTCTTACACAAACATCACTTCCTCAGAAGAGCCTTCTGTTGGCACCCTCCATCCCACGGCCTCCTCTCCTACCTTATTGCTCTCCATCTCCACGGGATATAGTTTACATTTACTCACTGACTTACTGACTGCCTCTGTTCATACCTGCATCTCTAATGCCTACAACAGCGTCTGCAAACCAGTAGATACTCAGTAACAGTTTGTATGAATGCATGACGGATGGATGCATGGATGGATGCCAGGATGGATGCATGGATGCTTGGATGGATGGATGGATGGATGGATGGATGGATGGATGGATGCATGGATGGATGGTGCACCAGGCCCCCAGGGGATGAGACTGTGCCCACCCCGCCCTCACTGAGGTCACCTCAGGAGATCTGAGTGTCCCCGAGGGCCAGGATCCCTCCTATAAAGACACACACAATTCTGTCATAATCAATTTTTCTCATTTTTCTCATTGGTTGCAAATCTTTAAAAATTGCTTTCCTGCACAATGGATGTAGAACTATGTATAAAATCGGGGATATTCACAGAGGCTGATGGAGGTGGAAGCTGCATTGAACCCCCTGTTTGAGCTGCAAACAGGCGCTCATCTTGGGCCTACACATCTCTGATCGCTGTGCCCTCTGCTGCCCTCCTTCCCTGTCTTCTTCTCCTCCACCCCGTTCTTCTTTCTGTTTCTCCTTCCCACTCTTCCCATTTCTGATTTGTACCTAGCCTTGGGGTAGCCCGGGGGCTGTACCTCCAGGGCTTCCAGGACAGCATACTGTCCAGCAGTCCTCAGAGGAAGCTTCCTGACTTGTGTATGGTCACCACAGGTGGCTTTCTACACCACTCTCACACCCATTTCATGGATGGGGAAGTTGAGGTCTGGGGAAAGGAATTCAGTAATACTGTTTTTAATCTTACTGTTTCTCATTAACCTAGAAGCCACACAGATAGAAGTCTTATGACTTGGGGGAAAGCAGCAAATGGATGATGGGTGTTTCACTTCTTCCCAACGTGGCATGTTGTTGGGTTTGGAAAAAACAGTCATTTACTCCAAATGGTTAAAGAGTGTGTGTAGGAATGAAGTTTGTGTATAGTTTTAACTTTCCCTGGCAGGTGGGCTGGAAGGATAATAATCAGCAGCTTGTTGCTATGAGCTGAGAGTTGTGCTAAACTGATGGGAATGTGCACGGCTTTCCCTGGAGGCACTTCCTCCTCACTCTGCCGATGAGCATCTCAAGGTCTAGGAGAACCAGGGTCTGACTCCAGAGCCGGAGCAGCACCCCCTTACCTGGCCAGACCCCACCTGGGAGCTGGTGTGCTCTGGAGTTTACAGCTGGGCTCCAGCTGACTATCAGCCCCACACTGGGAGGCACCTTTCCAAGTAGGACACACTGCGTGGTTTGGCTACAAGTCTCAGAAACACCAATCAGGTGGCTCCAACCACTAGAAAAGCCATTGGCTCACAGTGACGGGGTTGGGTGGGCATGAGGGTAGGTTGATCCAGAAAGTCAACAACAGTGAAGACTTTCAACAGTGAAGGCTTTCTGTCCTTGCTCACCACGTTCAGTGTTGGCTTCTCCTCAAGGCTGTGGCTGTAGGTAGTCATCAGGCTCTACTGCTTTTCTTTTCTATTCCCAGGCAATAGGGGAAAGAGATGAGCATCTTTTCCCATGAGCCTTTCTTAGGAATAAGGAAACTTTTTCCGGAAGCCCCCAGCATGCTTTCACCCATGTCCTGTTGGCTTGGATTGTGTCACTTGTTCTTTTTGTTGTTGTTGTTCTTATCTGAACCAATCCTCACTCTAAGGATAACATATGGGCTGGTGAGCTCAGACCTGGGTTCTGAACTAGTCACTGACAATGGCTGGGGTTGCCATGACCCCCCAGGCCCAAGGAGGGCCACTCACCTGGCCATCTGAGAGAGCTGACCAGGCAGGGGGATCTGGGTGCATCTGGATGCCTCCCAAGTGCAATCAGGTGAGCAAGCAACCCTGGTTCATTTCCTTGGCTTTCCTCTTCATCCTGCAAAGAGTTGGCCTTGTGTTCCTCACCCACTGGTGTTCATTACCTTCTGGGATGCTTGAGCCTGGAGGGATCACAGCAGGGCACAGAAGCTGAGGCATTG